CTTAGACAACAGCTAGTTAAGCTGCAGACATAAGAGCAATTATAATATCCCTAGCCTACTATCTAGCTTAACAACTAGCAGCCTAGATCTTCTAAAATTTTGCAGGCTCTTTAATAAAGCCTGTCTTAAATAGGTCTTAAATTCTAAAGATAATATATTATGTAGTTAAAAAGTTACATTAAGGTGTAGTTATAGAGTTATTAAAATGTCTTGCATAGGACTTAATAGCGTAATACTCTGCTAAATCTTGTTAGAATTAGGTTATAAAAATGTTAGAATATAGCTAGAGACTGTCTTTATTACCTATTAAAATCTAACCTAGTTTAGATAAAAAGTAGTAGAGCTATAATAATTCTTAGTTAAGCTAGTGCATAGTAGAGGAGGTTTAGAACTATAATATTACCTAAAATATTATAAAAGTCCCTTAGATAGGTAGGGAGAGAAAGCCTTTCTTACACCCTTATTAGCTAGAGAGATGGGGCTTGCGCCACTAAGGCTACTAGCAGGGGCTTGCCCCTGTCGAGGCTCTCTCCCCATCCCGTCTGAGCTTGCTGAGATAAGACTATATACTGTACGAGAAAGGAACTAGTCCTAATGAGTGAATAGTGCAGTACATGGGTATGGTATCGCGTGAGACACGTGCGACAGAGCTCAGGGAGCTTCGCAACTTCAAACACCTCAGAGTCCCATTCTCGAAGCAATTGTACAAGATGATAAATACGAACTCCTCCTTTCAGAGAGTCAACACAGCCTATATATTCAATGTTGACGGGCGCTATCGTTTGCACAAATGGATTCCTAAGGATTTTCGATTTAGACGGCCTCCTACAACGTAAATTAGCCATTATTGCACTTTTGTTAAGCATACAGATCCATGCGGTAAGTCAATCCTGCCGAGATGTAAGCATTTCCTTTCCACGGTACCACTTGTTCTGTTTGCAGTAGTCACGCATGGCTCCAGCGTAACCAGTCGGAAGTAATACGATTCGACTCGGAGTTTTCAACCGCCCTACGACTCGGTTTGTTAGTACGATTATACGATTGCTAGAGGGGCAGAGGGGACTACGAGTCGTAGTTAGTACAAACTAATTCACTGTACTTACAATACAATTGCTAAGAATTAGTTCATAGTACAACTAGATAGGGCGGATTTTATGTAATTAACTAACTCACTAAGCTCACCAGCAACTAGCGTACGCTAAAGCTAATTCTTTTACAGCTGTAGCGCTTTAATCATTGCTCCACTAAGGCAATTCCTCTTAAAAGTAACAGTTCTTCTACCTCTAGAGAAAGCTCTCTCGCAGTCGCAAATAGTAGCTGGTATAGAGAGGAAATCAAGGGCCATCTTGAAAACAGTATGGTACCGTGAACGACCAATCTGGAGCCACTAACTAAGTGGATCTGTATACGTTAAACTGTCCTCAGGGGACTCGCGGAGGTTGTCTTTAATAGCGTTAAACAATTAAGTAAAATCTACTCTCACATAAAGCTTTTTCCAGATTTGATCTTGAGTTACGCAGGGGTGTAACGTGAGCAATGAGTAAGCAGCCTGAGTTGTGGCTGTGCAAGCGTGAGCTCGCCATGAGCCAACGCGAGCCAGCGTGATTGTGCCTGATTTGTGCCTGAGCTCGCCGTGAGCCAGCACGAGCCAGCGTGATCGTGCCTGATTTCCTCCCTGAGCAGCATGAAAAGGGCCCGAATTTGGGCCCCTATCAGTCCGCAGGGATGTGAGGTGTCGGTGACTGACTGGTCCTATTTTCGGGACACAATCTTCCGTGGCTTAGCTCCTTTATCCCTATGCTAGCAATACTTTCCTTTAATCCACAATCAAGACCGCTTGAATAATCACATAACGTACTTCACATGATTGTGGCTCACACGGGATTGTGAGCCAGTCGTGCCAAGAGAACACCAACTTTCATCTCAACCTACAATGCCTTAACACCAACGCTAGAAGACTGTTTCTAAGGAGTCATATATCATCCTTGCTATCCGCGCTCTTAAGCAAGGCGATTTTAAGTCTATACAAGAGGCTGCACGCGCCTATCACGTTAATCGATTAACCCTCCAACAAAGATACGACAGACAGCAATCTTGACACAATTAGAGACCTACAGTAATAAACCTTACTTTAGGAGAAGAGCAGGCAATTGTTAATAAGGTTCTTAAGCTTAATAAACGTGGATACCCCCCTACCTACTACTGTGTTTGAGATATGGCCAATCTTTTCCGCGCAGCACGGGGTGAGAAGAGTGTTAGCTATAACTAGCCTGCAACCTTTGTTAAGCGTTGCTCTAAATTAAAAGTGCGTTTTAATTAAAAGTACGACTATTAACGAGCCCTTTGCAAAGACTACAACGCAATTTTAGCTTAGTTTAAGTTAGTAGCAAATATTAAGGCAAAGTACAGCATACTAGACAAGGATACATAGAACTTTAATAAGACTAGCTTTATAATAGGCGTTATCTTAAGCTCCTTAAGAGTTGTTACTGGATCTGAGCGACGGCACAAGCTAAAGCAGGTCTAGGGAGGCAATTAGGAGTAGGTATTAGTCATTATAGGTGTTAGTAGGACGGGTGAATCTATCCTACCATTTATTATCTTCTAGGGCAAGACACACCTTAGTTCCTAGTACTAGAAAGCAAAACTACTGCGTTAATAGAAAATAGCAGTCTCTAAGAACAGCTAGACGAACAATAACTTTAGTCTTGCATAGTTATAACACTTTAACACGTCTACAAAGGGACGCGTTAAAAATACACACTAGCTTCTTATTCTAGACGGCCATAAGAGCCTTAACTTGGCTGCATTTAAGCAATACTATTTAGAACACAAGATTATTACTCTATGTATGCTAGCACACTTATTCTATCTTCTACAGCCCCTAGATGTAGGCTGTTCTTCGCCTTTAAAGACAGCATACTTCTCTTAAATTACTAACCTAGTCTATGCCTATATTAACTATATTACTAAAATTAAGTTTCTCTCTACGTTTATTAATACGTTTAACGCGTTAATTACGTTAAGCTAGATTAATAGAGGATTTAGAGGCGCTAGATTGATACTATTTAATCCAGAGGCAGTGCTAGACAAGCATGATGTTAGGCTAAAGACCCTACTAGAACAACCCCTCCCTGAAGCTGCCTGGACGTCGAAAACACCACAAAACATTACTGAAATTAAGAACTAGTTAGCTCTAGTTCTTAATAAGTTCACGAATCTGCATCTAAGAGCGCTAATTTAACTATCTAATGCGTTTAAAAGCTTGGTTAAAGGTTATGAGATGATAGCGCATTAACTTGCGCTTGCTCTTTAAGAAAATCGCGAGCTTCGAGCTTAGAATGCTGCCTATAAAGAGCGTAAATCACGGAAACGAAAGCGTCTCTAGACAGGTGGTGTACTAGACTCTAGTCAAGCAGAAGCACTACTAGCTAAGAAGAGTAGTGGTACGAAAAATCGTCGGTTGGAGGTGGAGGATGGTGGTCATGGTGAGGGCAGCGGCACCCGTCAACGGCGCTGTGGAACTGCGGGAAGACTGGGCACAACTCGCGAACATGTGCGCAAGTTGAAGAAGAGGCATCTGAATCATATGCCTCCACGCAGTATATATTTTCGAGTAGTGACGCGGCTATTTCTGATGTTGAATGAGATGGTTTGGTGTTCTCTTGGCACGACTGGCTCACAATCCCGTGTGAGCCACAATCATGTGAAGTACGTTATCTATTATTTAGACATTAAAATGCTATACTTGAGTGTCTACTACTCTTTAAAACTAGACAATATAGGGATTTGTGTGAGGCTTACTCGTGCTTATTAGTGCTTCTCGGAAGTCTGAGAGTCACGTGTAACGCGGTTTCGAACGGAGATTGCCGATAGCGCAACAACATTAGTAGAATCCTACAATTTTATTAAATTTGTTAACAAAGAACGTTCTGATAGGCCTAAATATGAATTAAACGTCTTAAATTGACCTACCTACTTGTGCTGCGATCGTCACTCTCTGGCTCTCCGGCTCAGGATGGACGCAGATATTGTCTATCCTTGCTGTCTCTCCCAACGGTGCCCAGACGCTTTTTTAATGGGTTTCTCAGCGCGCTGGTCTTCGTCGTCCTTCTGAGCTTCGTTAGCTTCCTCTCCTCCTTAAACATCTCCAAGATCTTCCTTGGGCGGGCTGGCCAGAGCGGTTTCCTGAGGACTTAGCAGTGGCGAACAGGCTCGTATAGACAGCGTTGGCAGACGAGACGCAGCAGGATAAACCGCTGAAGAGGATTATAGAGGAAGTAGAGGATGCTGAGGGTGTTCAGATACCGTACTTAACAGGATATAAAGTGCTTAGGGCTGGAGAAGTCGTCAAGCGCAGCGCTCCTTGTAAGATTTGCCTCTTAGAGGAAAACAAGAGCTTCCGGGACTTGTTCTCCTAATAGGCAATTTAAAAGCTTAACGAAGGGTGTATATTTGTTTTTAGCAACGAGATAAGCGTTGAAACTAATTATCACTGTAAGCAGGCTCTAGTATCTCGTCCCGTCGGCGCTGATTCCTTTGAGTACAGCTGCCCTCCACCTAGAACGTTCAAGTCAGTAATGGTATAGGGAGCAGTTTGCAAGGGTCATAATCTAGAAGATGTTGGCCCAGGGCCCTTCCACATCTGGGAGAAGGAGACAGAGGAGGAGAGAGTACGTAACTTAGCGCTACTTGAGCAAGAGAATTAAGAGAGGGCTTGCGTAGAGGCAGGACAAAGAGCGTAGGCTAGAGAACCTGGGACGTTTGAGCATCGCGTTCTCTAAGAGCTTAATACAAACGTACAGCGGATGGATTGTGAGGATCCTCTACCCTCTAGCTGGCTACGGCAGCTTTGTCGGCCAGAGTGGGAGTTGAAGATAGAGAGAGCTTCACGGGGTGAAAAGAGCAAGGGCGGGATTGACTAGCTCCGCTATAGAGAGCTTATCCTAAAGCTACTACTCTATCTTTGGGCTGACTCTATTGCGAGATCTACTAGGAGGATAGTATACGTCGTTGAAGATAATGCTTCACCACACGTAAAGGCTTAACGCTTCTCTATTGCAGAGCGCTCAAGATATTGTGGCAGAGTACAAGCTGTCTGCTAGCTACCTCACTCCCCAGACCTCAATTGAATCGAGCGTGTTTGGGACACTATTTATGACTTATTTGAGAGCCTTAGGGCCCACAATCATGAGAACTAGCTCTCTGAGACGGCTATACGCGACCGAGTCAAGGATGCTTGGTACAATATGCCACAGGCCCAGGTTGACATTGAGTGCGAGAGATTCCGTTCAAAGCTTGAGAAATGCGTAGAGCAGCATAGAGATAATTGTTTCTATGGATAATACAATATTATCTATTTCGAACAGCCTGTACAAATCATTCTTTGAGCGTGGTGTTGAACTTTTGCCACTGATCGAAAACTCTCTGATATGTCGCCGAGGATCCCTGCAACACGTGACTCTCAGACTGCCTGGGCGCTTGAGTAGTAGCTTCAAAGGCGTTTAAACGTATTTGGCAAAAACCGTGCGCTTGTGAGGAACCTGCGCAGCGAGAGCTTGGTCGCCGTCACATGATTGGGCGATTGGCTCGCTTACGGCTCGCTTGCGGCTAGCGCCTCGGCAGAGCTGGCACCTTTTCTTCGGAGCTGCCCCTGGAACTCCCTCCCTTTCTCTTCTTCATCTTAGTGTACTGTGGTAGCTTGAAATACAGCCAACCTACCCTATCAAGTGCACCTGCTCGACGACGTGACTGTCGGCTACCGCTAATACGATAGTGGAGACCGAGCTGGCCCTCACAGCGCTAGGTGAGACCGTGCGTCACACCATAAGAACTAGTAAGTGCCACCACACAACCCGGCCGAGACCTGACCTCCTCTTCGCTTCACTGTTCAAGCGTATTTGCCGCGAAGGGCGCCACTTCGAGTATTGAAGTATTGACGTGGGGGTTCCTTAATGCCTTAAACAGAAACGAGGCTTCAAGGCTAGAGAAGGTCTTGTCCTATAACGAGTTTGCTAAATGTCACAATCGGCATGCTTCTGCTACAATCAAGAGAGGTCGTGAACCTTGTACTGTACATTGAACTAAGGAGCAGAGTTGCTTGGTCGTGCGAAGGCATACAGTACCTCCTGCCGAGTCATTAGCGAGGAGCTAAGCGATGATGTGGCCTAAGAGGCATGTGACGAGACATATAACGCGACGGATTTGTAACACTAAATGTCTTTATTCACCCTTTTTGGTCCACTCTAACACTCTCCCTTTGTTCTTCCGCTGTTTTTGTCCCTCTAATTATCAATTTTTGCTCGATTAGTCCCCCCACCCCTCATTCCCCCCTTTTTTGCCATCTTTTATTTTTTTTCCTCTATGTACACTTTCACAGAATGTTCTCTCTCTGTTTTGTTTTTCATGTTCTATTTCCTCCTCTTCTGTTTTTCTCGCTATTGGCAATGCTTACTAGACCTGATAAGGCTACGAAGTCTATTTACGTTTCCAGGAGAGTTGAAGTGCGGCCTAGAGAAGGGTGGTCTGGCTGCGTGCCCATGCGTAATTTGTTTTCGTTGATTGCGCTCTCGCTCCGCCGCCTACCGTTGATATATTGAACAATTCCTTGCAGTGCTGCAATTGAAGCATTTGTGACTTCAGGTCCGTTTGACTGAGTTCATTGTTCATTCTCCAACGCAGCAGATTGCCCCTCTACATCATGGCATTAGATGGCAATTACGGCCACTACAGAAATTTCCGACCGAATCGCATTGATCTGGGAGAGTATTGGCTTGTCCCAAAGCGCGAAGGTAGCGATGGGTTTCCGTTCCAGGGTCAGAGTGCTCCGGAGCTTTTGAGGATCGACCACGAGGACATTAGGGATTTTCCCGATTATACATATGATCCCTTACCGCCGGACAAGAAAAGAATACGTCTCATGAAGCTCTACTCCGGTGAAGTTTGGGGCACCAAGATTTATTGCGAACTAGTCGAGGTCGAGTACGACAAAAAATTCCATATTCCTACCGAGATCAAGGAGGGTGAGGCGGACAACGATGCGAGTGGGCGCAAGGGAAAGGCGAAAGACCAGGCCAGCGATGATACGGTGAACGACAGCGAAACCGACCTCGAGGATCGTGAGGAAATCAGACGCAGAGGAGACGAGGAGACGTCAGATATGCGGCTCGCTCGTAAGATACGAGAGCAGGAACGCGAGCTTGAGAATGAAGTCAGATTTTTGAAAGGAAATGACGGGAAGGAGGAAAAACAGAAAGAGGACTTTGACAAACTGGTTAAGGAATGGGAGAATGTCGATGGCAGGAAGATCCAATACGAGGCACTGTCCTGGTCCTGGGGCGAAGGCGAAGAAGTCTACGCCATTCTGATTAAGAAGGGTAACGATACTTTTAAGAAGCCGGTGAGGAAAGCCCTGGCTCTTGCCCTCAAGTATCTCCGGCGCCCTGGCAAACCTAGGACATTGTGGATCGACGCCATCTGCATCAACCAGAACAGCCCGGGAGAACGAAATCACCAGGTTCAGATGATGTCTAGGATCTACACCAGAGCGCGGCAGGTATGTATTTGGCTGGGGGAGGCTGACGAGGACAGTGAGATCGCCATAAAGTTCATCAAGGAGGAGATTATGGAACTGAAAAACTTCGACAGGATTTCGTCAAATGAGCGATACAGCCAGAAGTGGCAAGCACTGATGTCCCTTATGCAGCGGGATTGGTTTTTTCGACGATGGGTAGTACAGGAGATTGCATTGGCCGGTGCGGCCACGGTCTACTGCGGCCCTCACTCGATCCCATGGAAATCGTTCGCAGTGGCCGTGGAGCTCTTTGTTGAGGTTGAGACGGCTACCCACCGTCTCTCTGAAGTCATGAAGAGGGACGAGAAGTTTCGCCACGTGCCAAACTACTTCGAGTACGTTTCTGAGCTAGGAGCTAGTCTTCTAGTACAGGCGACAGGGAAAGTATTCAGAGTCAACCGATCGCCAATGCGGCCGGAGTCGGACAGCTCGGGTGAAGACGGCGAGGAAATTCCTAAGCCAAAGAAGAAGATAAGCGACCTGGAGAGAGCACAGAGGAAAGAGAGAAAGGAAGCGAGGAAAAAAACAGAGAAGCGCCAAATCCTTGACCGCCTTCGCGAGACACAAACCATTGACCCGCTGGAGAGAAGGAGCTTGCTCAGCCTTGAATTTCTTATATCAACCATGTTCATCTTCCAGGCCAGTGAGCCACGGGACGTCGTTTATTCGCTGCTTGCTATCGCCAGAGATGCAGCACCCTTTGCTCCAGCCCAATTAGGACAGGATGATCAGAAGCTTTATCTTGTTATGACGCTCCTGGATCGCTTCCTTGCCGAGAAGCCTTTTACGGTTGACTACAGCCGACCATTTTCCGACATATGTCGAGACTTTGTAGAATTCAGCATTAAACAAACCCACAAAGCCAATCCCCAACAAGCACTCGACATCTTGTGTCGTCCATGGGCCCCGGACCCTCCAAAGGGAATGTCGATCCGTCTGCAGAACAAAGATCGCATAAAAAAAACCGATGAGAAGAGATTGGGCCCACCGCGTAGGAAGTGGAAGAGGCGGCTTGACAGGCGTGTGGAAGAATACCAAGGGACGAATTCGGACGACTTCGAAGATGTCAACTGTAGAGCTAGATTCAAATACGCCCCAGACCCACAAGTTGCCGATGGCAAGGCTTGGGAGGTGGACAACCGCGAAACTGCGGCTTACTTCGCCGAGGTTACAAAAAAGGAGAACTCTGGCTGGCCAGTATGGAGGAAGCGCGGAGATGCAGAGTTGGAAATGTATTCCGATAGTTCATGGAAGCCTTCGCCTGGCTGGGAGTGGATAAAGTTTAGGTACTTCCCAAACCCAAACACTATCCCGGACGTGGAGCCTCTTCCAAGCTGGGTTGCACGGGCCTCACAAGCTCCATTTATGCTCGATCATGCGCCGGGCATGGAGATGCGCAAGACGAGTCGTGCGAACGCCGAACCTCTCGTTGGAGCGCCACAAGATGGTCGCCGCAATTACAACGCCGCAGGCCCGGAAAAGCTAGACCTTGACAGGCTTATTTTTAAGAAGCGGCCAGTACTCGGGCACTACAGTCTTTTTGTGGAAGGATTTGAGCTCGATGAAGTCACAGATGTGGTAGACGCTTCACAGTTGGGGGGCATTCCCAAGGCCTGGCTTGAGTTAGGCGGATGGGTAGACTTCGACCAAGACCCCCCGGACGACTTCTGGAGGACCATCGTGGCTGACAGAGGCCGGGATAATCGAAACCCACCCTATTATTATGCTAGGGCGTGCAAAGAATCCGTGCATAAGGGTGGTACCATGGGCGGCAGCGTCAACACTATGGCCCTTATCAACAACGAACAGAGTTCTATCGTGGCCGAGTTCTGCCGGCGAGTTCACGCTGTTATTTGGAATCGCTCTCTGTTTAGGACTAAAGATAAACGGCTTGGGCTCGCACAGAATGTGAAGGCGGGGGACAAAGTATTTATCTTGAAGGGATGCACTGTTCCCGTCGTTCTCTCCAAGAACAAGAAGTCGTCAGTTATGGTAAAAAGGGAAAATGGCAAAGGGGAAGAGCCTCGACTAGAGGTTGAGCTAGAGCAGGAAGAAGACAGGATAGAGCTCCTGAAAGCTCTTATCCGGAAAGCTATGTTTCGGCGCGAGCGCAAGTTTAAATATAAGTCTAGGAAGAAGAAGTGGCAGACAGAGAAAAACGGAAAAGATTGGACAGAAATGATGGATGCTCGACAGCAATACAAGGAATCGATGGGTGCTGCGAAGAATAAGAGAGGCACTGAAGCGAGGAAAAGCGCTAATGAGGCTACGGTCAGGAGAGGCAGGAAAAAACTTATCGAGTTATTGGCTAAAGAAGTAAAAGAAGCGGATGAAGACATTGAGAATGCCAGGGCCGTCTCTAAGGACGCACAAGACGCGGATACGAAAGCCGCCGCCGAGCAGAAACTTCAAAAATCTATGTCGAGGAGGGATAACGCCTTTCAGAGATTAAAGAATGACGTCGAGGAGGAAATGAGGAACGAGGACGCAGCGAAAGAAAAGGCAGCGGACGTCGTGGACGACACACCTCTACTACCTAGGACTCCACCAGGGTCAGAGACGAAGAAGGGAGCGGGGAAGCATAGCGAGAAGGAGAAAGACAAGGGACCGCAATGCTGGTATCAGTTTAAAGGTGAGTGCTACCTTCATGGTATGATGGATGGAGAGGCGATGCGGAAGAAGTTTAATGACCAAACGGAGTACCAGACTTTAGAGTTACGTTAATGTTTCAATAGAAGGAGGAATTTATCTTTTCCTATATTATCTTTATTAATGTCTTTTATCTATAGTAAGTTAAGTGTATATTTAAAGGCACAATTGTATAGAACATCTAAGTAACCTCTGTCCACTCGTTACAATGAACGCCTAGCGGAAAGTGGGAATTGCAGAGCTTTTTCGTGGTACTTCGCAAAGCGGTGGCCTGGTTGGGATCGCTTGGGTGAGCCAATAAGTTTTTGGAAGAGGGACTGGGATGATTACTGCCTTGCAGTCTTTTGCCTCGCAAGCGGCTTTGCTCAGCCCCAGCCTGGTCTTGTCTGTTCAGCCAGGCACACCGAAAACGACCATGGCGTTTTGGGGAACAAAGCTGTGTTGTGCTGGTGCTGATTCTTGAAGGGAATGTTTTCAGCCTGTGATGTGAGGTTTACAGCTTCTCGATCAAAGGTAGTTATGCATAGGGAACAATCCTCATTCGGTTGGAAAGATACTGTACCATGGTGAGATAAAGCGCGGAAAATCCAGTCATCTGATTTATCTCAGCAAGCTCAGCCGACTAGGGAGAGCAGAGCTCGAGCCCCTGAGTAGCACCTGCGGTGTTCGACTAGTGGATAGCGCAGGCGCTACTAGTCGAGCCAATCAGGGGCTCAGAAAAGCTCTTTCTCCCTCGCCGTCTGAGGGACTTTGGTGATCGTTTGTATGGATAACCTCTTCACAGATGCCTCTGAAATAACTCTTTTCTTAATACCTTCACAACTACCCACCTAAATTATCTAAAAATAATTTAAATAAGAGGTCTAACTCTAAGCTATAATTAAGTGTTTTTTTAATGTAGTTCTAACGTTTTTTACAGAAGTTGTTAAGCTCTAAAGCAATTCTAAGGCATCGCTATCGCGCACTACACTAGACTGCGACACCCCTAAACTACGATTAATCCTCCTGCAAATCCTAGAGCTATTAGGCCTAATATAGAGCTGATACTTAGCTAATTTTCAAGAGATTCTGTCTAGTGGTTACTAAGTTGCATTAAGGTGGTTGATCTGGAGGATTGCTACCTACACTATAGATCTATTACCTATTGTCTAATTAAGCTTATATACTAATAGGATCTAGATAATAGTAATAGTAAGGGCCTGTGAGAATTTTAAACGATTTAGACAACGCGTTGTTGAGCAGCATGTCACTGTCCTAAGGCTTGGCAAAGACAGATCGCCCTCACTACTGTAGGTCAACAACAGCTAGGCTAAAACGTCTAGAAATTTAGAGGCTGTCTTTAACTACTCCTACAAAACAGCTCCTAAATTTCTAGACGTTTTAGCCTAGCTGTTGTTGACCTACAGTAGTAAGGGCGATCTGAAGCGGTTACAGAAATTTTGCGTCACGCGCGCGAACTATAAAAACTTGACTTTAACATTGTTAGATCCTTATAAGATATATCTTATCGTGTTCTTATAGCAATTTTACACGTTGCATCAACTTTTAGGGCCTCCTTCTGACGTACCCAGAGTGCTAGACAAGTTGGCAGACGGCGACTCGATTTTGCGAAGCGGTTATCCATACAAACAATCACCAAAGTCTCTCAGACGGCAGATGAGGGAGAAGTTGCTCTGCAGGGGTGTGAAGCCACTAACCCCGAAGCCATGCTATATTAGGAGTAGCACCATGCGTGGCGCTCTTGGCTCTCTCATCTGCTGTCTGAGCTTGCTGAGATAACATCTGATGAGAACATGTCACCGCACTAGCTGGGTCTAGTTAGCCCCTTGGCAGGTCCAGGAGTATATAGGTAGCTTGTCTCGCAGTCCTAGTCAATCAACGCAGTCTTCCTCCTTTTTCCCTCCCCCAAACCACGGCTGGCCCGCCGTGACAGAACAGGAATCGCTTCTGAGTATTGTTTATGCGAATCTGTCAGATCTTCCTTTGAAAGAACTGGGCTCTTTGTAGACTTCATCTGAGATAGATTTGTGTTCGGGCGGGAAGACAACATGCAAATTTTACCTGGGATTATGGCCGGAACCTGAAGGACTTCAGGAGGCTAGAATATGTAGTTAGCAAGCTCAGACTAGCTGCGGAGAGAATTGGGGCTTGCACCTTGTCAGTGATGGAACGAGGCGAAATTTCCAAAGGGTGAAAAACATTTTACGGCACCAAAACTGGTTCCAGAAAACTGGCGAAAGTTTTCCTGTAACCAATTGGACCGATGAATTAGTTTTGAGAAACTGCGAAGGGTCGAATATCTCGTGATGGATTATCACAGTAGGCGCTACCCTGATCTTTCTACACCCTCCCTTCCCAGCAGACGGAAGGTCTGGATCGTGGAGTGGAACAAGAAAGAGCAAGCAGATAGACCACCAACGTGGACTTTGGTCTAGGTATCGGAATAGGTATGATTTCTGCGCGGAGCAGTCTCGGTAGAGTGCTCCAACCCACTTCGTTATGGCGTCCGCCCGACCGAAATAGTCCGCCTTGACGGGTATGGAGCAAATTACGGAGAAATTAGACTAAAATAGACTGCAGGGCGATTTAAAGATCTGCTGACTGATGTACTTCTTGCTGAAGGGGAACTTAATGGCATATATGTTGCCGTGTCCGAGAATGATACTAATAACGAATAGATAGGCGGGTTTGGATAATCTTCGGTCCGACTACTGACTACTGAAGCAAGAAGACCGGTCCAGAGTTTGTTCGATGTCCTGAAAGCCCTTCAAAGCGTGAGGAATCCGAAGAACCGCGTCATCAAGGCGTGTATCTCGAGATCGAATGCCCTCAATCGTCCTTAGAATCCTTTGAGCCATGTGGTACTCCTCGATCGAGTTGTGCACGCCTTGGCAGTCTTTCTTTCGTTGAGGTGGCGATTTCACAAAGTCAGCAATAAGGCGGACAGCAGTCGATCTCTCCCGGATATTGGCCCCTTTTCCGAAGGGAATGTGAAGCCAAAAAGAGATAGGTGATCCGGCATAAAAGAGCCCAGCGAACGAAGAAAATGTCGTTAGTCCTGGGCTGCTGTTTCATCTCTTGGCTGTGAGGTGAGATAGGTGGATGGTGACATCCGCCTCTTTTTTGAACTACAACACTTCCCGTCCCGGTGAGCTCAGCTCGAGATTGACTAGAGGACCCATACAATTTGCAAAGTGAGTCATCATCACGGAGTGATGTCCACTTCGGCTTTGGGGGCTGGATACTTACCTGGATTCGGGATCGTTGTCTAGAGCAGTGGACTTTTAGTTGGTAGCGCACTGCGAGGGTTGGGGCAACAGGGATCATGACGGCTGAGCTGCCCGAATTGTAGTTTCCATAGATCGGTGCTTCTAGAATAATGGGGGCTAGGCTGGCTTGAGAGGCTGGGGCTGGCTTATACCGGTGGCGAGGTCGTTGGACAAAAAGTTTGGGCTTCGAAAAAGGCTGAGTGAAGGTTACGGTGGAAATTTTACTTCGAGTGCTGAAATAGACCTCAGGACACGATGAGCTGTCTATATGAGCACATGTAGAGCTAGGACGTACCATGCTGTTGGGAATTCGATGCGCCATCCCGAGGTTGTGGTGACATGCTAAAGCGGTGGTGGAATCCGTCACACTGCGTTCGTGCTGTCATTCCCAATTGAGAAAGACAGCTGGCACAACCAATCTCAGCCAAACTTAGCAGACTAACTCCGTATTCGCCAAGAACCAAAATTTGAAAGTTGGAACCGAAAGCAAACCCAAAATCGGCAAATTGAAGGCTGGTAGGGCCAATCGCCACCTGTGAAGAGGCAGCGTCCTCTTTGCGATTCGTCGAGGTGCCGCGTAGGTTGCCGCTTTCAACGACGGCGCTGCTCGTACTTCCCGCAGTAATAGATAATGGGTCAAGTATTCTTGGAGTCGTTATGGACAGTTGCCGCGGCAGATTCGGCATCGCCCAGCACCAGACTTTCTGTTGTCATCAGATCGACGCCATGGCGCAATGCCTCATGGGCTCCGAGTTCGAAGTCATGGTCATGATCACGTAACGATCCGAAAAGGGTTCGTAGGGGGGTTGCTGGTCAGACACGTCGGCCGTCCAAGTTGAGCTCTGAGAGATCATCCGGAAGGCCGTACACGAGGCACTCACGTCTAAGTCATACGTCATCTCCAGGATTCCACGCACTAGGACGGCCCAATTGGTCGTAACGCCCGATAGCTGGAATATCAAAGTCACCCCGCTTCCCCAATGACCTCAAGGCCGTAGTGCTTTTCAGAGTACGCAACTCCTGCCCATATTCTGTATGCGTTGTCGCAAATCCTACAAATCTTATACGACTTGCCAAATATCATGTGAAGGCTCGACAAAATGTTGTACATCCACACGTCCTGCCCAACACCCGCCTGACATGCAGTATGAATTTTCCCCAGAAAGGCTATGCATTGCATCCAGCGTCTCTACTGTAGGGTGCGCGGTCGCATGATCGAGTTAGTGGTGGCATCCGGGGTGGGCAAATGGGATATCGACGCGCCTATCGGTAGTTAAAGAGACCTCAAGCCGTTTGCGAATGGTTTCGAGGACTGTGAGGATGTTAGCATCGGGGACCACCTGCGGCAATTCTCGTGTTGCGACGACAGTTGTAGTGTCGTTTGAGCGAGGGTCGGCCAAGAGGCCGGTTCTCGCTCTCGATCAGAACCTCCGAACAACGCTGGCAGCGTGACGGTCATTGGCCTGGGATCTATGGCGGAATTCTTTAAGGCTCGGAGTGTTGATCGGCCTGCCACTTTCGACGTGAGTTCTTCACCGGCGGTAAGGTGGCGAGGCCATTTGGAAAGACCCTGACCACCCGCATGCGCGCTCATTGCCCCCGCTTCTCAGCTCTCTTAGAAACTGTGGCCTCGTGCTTCATTTTGTCTGCACGCTTTCGCGACAGGCAACGCGCTGATCGCCTGCGGAAGATTGTGTTCGAGTTCGGTTCAAACGCAATGCCAAGCCTTTCCTTGGGGAAAATCGGTTGAGGCGCAGCAGGTGGCTGCGCCATGTGGCCATTTGACATTTTGTCGGCTATCAGCTGAGCGCCCCAGCCGACCTTGTTTTGCCTCTCAAATACGTAAATACTGTATAACGTGAGGACTCAATCGCCATTATTTTCACTTTCGCAAGTTCGCCAGCAATCTTCGTATCCATCATAATCACTTTTCGGGCCATACCGTCTTCTCAGGAATGGCCGCATCCTCAGCCCTGCAGCCCTGGGCCTTTGATGTAAGCTCGCTCATGGTCCTCATCGGCGAAGATGAAGAACGGACGTATCGACTGAGCCGGCGATCCCTATCGCAATGCCTCGTCGCGGTCCCAGTCGTTGGACTCCAAAACTACGTCAGGTCCTACGACCTTTTGCTCGAGCCGACTTCGTTTACCTATTTCTCGCCGTACGGTGTTAAGAGCGCGCCGCTGCGTAACGCCCAGCTATCCAACGCTATCAAGAATGGAAGATTACTTGAAGACCAAAGATACACTGTGTTCAGTATACCCCCCAATTCCGAATCCAAAGAAGGGCGCGGGAAAACGAATAAAAAGTGGGAGCTTGTGCTGCATCTCTGGGCCGCGACTACATGGGCCCTTTTTGGAGGCCTGCTTGTAGGCACGGTTCTCATCCCCGGAATGACTTGGATCTCAATCGCCACCTGTACTGTCTATACGGGATGGTCTATCGTTCTTCGACTTACAGAATACTTCAACGTACGACCTGCGCCGGTTCCGCGAAATGTGGTCACGAACCCGGACCTGCCGGAAGCTGTCTTCATCATGGGTCGCAACAACTCCGCCCTTGTGTTAGAGGGCAATCGCAAAGATGTCAAAGACTGGACGAGCCGCGGTCTAGTGTATAGTGACCAGCCTCTTGGAATTCCGTCATGGATGTGGCAGGCATTCACACGACTTGGTAGCCTTTTAGTGCTGCTATTCATCTTCTCCGCTATCCCAAATGGGAGCACCGTAGACCAAGTTGGTTTCATCCTGCTGAACAGCTTAGCACAGGCGAACGTGCTCGTCGGCCAGTGGCTCAATGGCGAATACTCCCTCTCAAAGCTCCAGAAAGTCGAGGACACCAGGTTACAGACTAGAACACATATTTATGCAAATCTTATCAGGCGCTTCAAAGACGCGGAGCAAAGATTCAGTTGGATAGACGTATCTGGTTTACTGCCAAAAACTTCGGCTTGGGAGAAGTGGAGTGTTGAGGTTGTGTGTGAAGAAAACAAAGACCCGAAAACCTTGTATAAAGAAATAGTGCGCAGTATAGACGGGTCATCTACTGAAGAGACCGATCCCGATGCGACGGTTATCAAAGGCGACCAACGAATCCACGTCGGAGGCTCGACCTGAAAATGAGAGGCTGACCCATGTACAGTGTACCTGGGTGGTTCAAGAAGTCTCCGGCGCCCGTGAGCAAAAGTCGGGCACGAATCCGCGGCAAAATTTTCAACGGTCCCGTATCACTACAGGAAGAAACGAGCTGAAAGCGGGTCGCAATACTTCACGAGACCATCCTACTCGTTTCCGACCTTCAAATCGTACCTGGCGGTGTGGAACTCGATTGCTCATCTCAGCTCGAATATTCGTTTTGGACGATCGTTGTAAAACGCCTCCCGCAAGGCTTCTCCGTCCATAAGGCCATGAACATAGCTCTCACCCTTGAACACATACCAAAGACTTGGATCCTCCATCTTGGCTCTCTCCTCGTTCTGTCGGAGTGTCGTTTTTGTTCTCTTCAGTGTCGGATTCTGTGGTGGACTCAAGCTTCCTTGACTAGCCCCGTCCGATGCGGTACGCGCGGCATCCCCCGCACGGGCACCGCTATCTGTCGTATCCACTTTCTCTTCCTTCCTTACACCACCACTCCCACCAGCGTCCCTAGCTGGCGTACCCTCTTTCTTGCCTGCTCCTGTGCTGCTATCTCCGCTGCCATCCCTATTGCCATCCTCGCCGCTATCTTCATCCGGCGTATCTTCTCTCTCGTCTGTTTCTGTGCCGCCATCCTCCACCCGCGTATTCCCTTTCCCACTTGTTTTTCCAGCCAGTGAATCGCCCTTTTTATCTTTCTTTGCTTTTGCTTCAAGCTTTTTGATAGTCTCTTTGATCTCCTTCTCCAATTCGATTCTATCGTTTTCCTCTTTTGTCGCCTTTTTTACCTCCTCCTCCCATGTGGTGCGCTTCCCGGTCTCCTTGTCGACTAGTATCTTCCCCTTGTTGGATATATACCGGGCTTTGCGCGCGCGGAATTTCTCAAGTCTCTTCAGGCAGGATCTAAATGCTTCGAAATTGTCTTCAAACTCTTCCCGCTCCTTGTCTCCCGGCTTCTTCTTGTACCGTTTCAGAACAACAGGGACCGTACAACCATATAAAATGCATATCCTGTCTCCTGGTTTCACGTTTGTAGCAAGGCCCAGCTTTCCACCCTCGGTTCTGAACAACGAGCGCCCCCATATGACGGCGTGAACCCGCCTGCAAAACTCCGCGATGATCGAATTTCGTTCGTTGTTGATGAGATCCGTAGTATTCACCCTGCCACTGGAAGTACCTCCCTTGTGTACGGATTCCTTGCAGGCTCTTGCGTAGTAATACGGTGGATTCTTGTTATCTTGGCCTCTGTCGGCCACGAGGGTCCTCCAAAATTCGGCAGGTGGATCATTTGTATATGGCGCTGCCCAGCCTCCCAAGGCAAGCCACTGTTGCGGAATATTACCTCCTTGTGAAGCATCTCGTACTTCTTTTACGGTGTCCAACTCCACGCCTGCGACGTAGAGACTGTAATGGCCCATGTATGACCTCTTCCTGAACTTTAAGGATTTGTGGTCTATGGGATGTGTTTGCGCCGCGCTGTAGTTCCTATGGCCGTCAGTGGGCGGTCCGACCAAGGGATCTGCATTGGCCCGGCCTGTCTTGAGGATGTGCATGCCGGGGTGCTCGTAAAGTGTGAACGGAGCCTTGGAAGCCCGAGTCACCCATGAAGGCAACTCCTGACTGTGAGCTCTTTTCGTATCCTTGACATGATCCAGGAAACACTGAACTTTTTCCCAACTAGATGGTCTCTTCCACTCCTTTTTGGATTTCTCGTCCCATATAGCATCGTTTTTCGGGAGGTCTTTGTACGCCTTGAAAATGTCGTCTTTGTCATCGATCCACACATCATCATCCTTTTTGACGTATCTGATTCTTTTGATGACGCCCCCAGATTGATCCTTTTCTTCATAACATTCCACATCACACAGCCGTTTTTTCCACACCGTTGTAGGCGGTGGCACCATCCTCTTCCTGTTGATGGAGGATATCTCTGGAAGCCGTAATGAGGTCCCTATAGGGGCATCCAGAGCCCAGGGACGACACAGGATATCTAGGGCTTGTACCGGATCCAACTTCTGCTTCCGTTGAATACAGAACTCGACAAAGTCTCGACAAACGTCAACATATGGTCGTGCATAATCCACCTTAAACGGTTTCTCTGCGAGGAAGTTATCGAAAGTTGACATCGTAAGGATTGAAACGTCGTCGGGCCTCATGGTGGACTCGGCGAAAGGCGACGCATCCCTGGCAATGGCCAACATGGAATAAACGCAGTCGCGGTATTCGCTTGCCTTAAATATGAACATGGTAGTCACCAAATACTCCAGGCTGAGCAGGCTTCGTCGGTCCAGGGGATCGATCGTGTGCACATCCTCCATGAATTTCGCCATTTTTTTGTGATCCTCGATGTCTTCGTGAACGTCGTCCATCGGTGTCCTTTGAGCACGAAACACCTTGCCAGTGGCTTGCACCAAGAGACTCGCGCCGAGCTCCGAAACGTACTCGAACCAGCCGGGGATATGTCGAAACTTTTCATCCTTTTGCATGACTTCTGAGAGGCGATGCGTCGCCGTCTCAACCTCCACAAAGAGCTCGACGGCGACTGCGAATTCTTTCCAAGGGATCGAATCCGGGCCACAGTAGATCCTAGCCCTTTGAGCTAGAGCAATCTCTTGAACGACCCAGCGACGGGAGAACCAGTCCCGCTGCATTAGCATCATCAATGCCTGCCACTTCTCACTGTGGCTCTTATCGGAGGTGATAGTATCGAAATTCTTCAACTGTGTGATCTCTTCCCGGATGAAATCGATTGCGATCTTGCTCTCGTCGGTATCTTCCCCAAGCCAGATACAAACTTCCTTTGCTCTCGTATAAATTCTTGACATCATTTGGACCTGCTGGTTCCGCTCTACGTGATTCCTTTGATCAATGCAGAGGGCGTCGATCCAAAGGGTCCTCCTTTCGTTTGGTTTTCGAAGATATTTCAATGCCAGCGCCAGTTCCTTTCTGACCCTTTTCTTGTATGTCACCCCATCTCGCTCAATCCGTATTACATACTCCCCTGGGCCATCACCCCAGCACCACGACAGTGCTTCGTACTTGATCTCATTCTTCCTGACTCGCCTACACTCTTCCTCGAGAGTTTCGTCTTTGGGTCGGTTATAATTGTCCATTGGTATTGTCGGAATGTGAAAGCTATTGTCGTAGTCGGCTTCAATGAGTTCACAGACTATCTCTAGTCCATGAATTGTTCCGCTCCAAAGTCTCAGGAGACGAATCCGTTTCTTAGAAGGCGGAAGTGGGTCGTACGTGTACTCTTTGACAGTCTCCAAGTCCGGGCTATCATACTTTTGGAGCTGCGAACGCTGGGACCGGCTTCTATGCAGGCGTGCGTCTTCGCCGTCTATCGGCACAAGTTGGTAGGCGCGGTCTCCCATCCTAATAATTGGAGTTTGCATGTTCGCTGGAGATCGCGTCGTGAGTACCGACCGCTTCGAGGGGCTTCTGGAAGAGCGAGGGCGGCAGACGACGATGAATAGCGGTAAGAACTGTTGCACAGAGCTGTGGGACTGTGTTCGCGGCAGCTAAAGAATTTCCACCCACCTGGGCAGGGAAGTAGCCGAGTATATAATAGTTGCGCATTCTTTTTTGGGTCCGGCCTCTCGACTCCCAGCTATAGATTTTACCTTGTCCCGAGACTTTTGATTTTTCTCAGCCGCCGCCGCATGATGAACCCAATTCTGCGGTGGATCGGGATTGGATTTCGCCTCCATGAGGGCAAATTGAACGCATGGAGCTCGGCAATTTGGCGTGTCGACATGGCCATTGATTCGGCGCTTCCATATTCTGCGGCTGAGAAGAGGACCTTTCCGCCCCATATCACCTGCACCATTTCGGTCTCAGGCGCTAGACGAGCCCAACAGATCATCCGAGCTCGAGTAGCATGAACAGGCGGAGACTCGCAAGCTGGTGTGTCGAGATGACCTTCGATTCGGCGCCACCAAATCCTGGGGGTAACAAAACAACACTCTTTCATTTTCAGCCTTGCGCCATCCTGCAGAGATCATGCGAGCCCAAGCCAATCAATTTCGTTATTTGGCTTGCCAGCCTAAGCTCGTCAAAAGTAGCCTTTAAATTGCATATTTTCCAATAATGGGGATAATGCTATTACATAAATATCACAGGGCGTCGATATTGACTCGATGATCGATGTCGGATTTCTTGGCTGGGGGGTCCCATATCAATGTCCCTCTGCAGCGTCAACAGAGACTTCTCCAAAACTGCATCGAACGCATCGCCGTACTCGGTATTCGGATGTAGCTGCTCCCGGAAAAAGTCTGCATCCACGACAGCAATCCTCCCAAGAGCCAGCAGACGATGATCCCACATGGCTGGCCATCCGTATTCACCGAGACTACCTCTGTATTTCCGCCCAAATACTAAGGCTCATCTCAGCTTTCGACGCGGTCTGAATTGGAACCCAGAAACCCTCAAGTGTGTTGTTGCGGTCTGGTCGCTTGGTCGAGGAGAGCGGTGGATTCAGTCAGGACAGCAAAGACGCAGGGGTACGGATGGATGTCCATTGCACCATCCCGTCTGAATTCCATTGTTAAGACTTGTGCGCCCCGCTGTACGTTCCATCGAGGGGCCAATACGCTCCTTATCAATGCGATACCGCTCGGACATTGGGGGTAGCAGGCGTGCGCGCACTGTTGCTCCTTTCTATACGCTTGAGTTGGCGTCGGCGAAACTTCGGGAGCCAAGAATTTCATTTTCAGCGATTTTGGGTTGATGTAAGTGCTAACACAGCTAAACTTTAGCAACTTACCACGTGGTATAACCATTTACCTACTAGATAGAAATAGCTAAAATTTTAGTGGATGTGTAAGCAGGTGGGGACTAGGTGTCACGATAGATGGTGGAGCAAAGATGATGGTATATTGTGTGTGTAGTATATCTGATCATGTGTTCCCTCGTGTGTGCGTATAGTACAAATCAGAGGCTCTTGTAGTAGTTGGTCGAGCTTAGTCATATGACATGTGCAGTCATGTGACGTGGGCTCTGGCTGCTTACAGGATGATATTCAAACACCTAATTACTACGCATTGCACCCCCTCTCCCTTCCCGAACACCAACAATTCTTAGCGGCATAGCGCGGTGACCACTTTACAAAAGTTGTGCTGCGCTTGCCCTAAACGGTGAATTGAGATGCTTAGATTCCGACGTCAACAAAATTTTCAAAAGGATTACGGTATACAAGACGCGGATATCTACAACTTTGACGAGACGGGCTTTATGATGGGCATTGCTGCAACCACGAAAGTTGTTACAGACGCTAATACGGTCGGACGGGTAATTGATATACAGCCGGGAGATCGCGAATAGGTTACCGTTATTGAGAGTATCGGTACAACGGGTCAGGAACTTCCGCTGTTTATCATTCTTGCGGCTAAGCGCCACCAATCCGCATGGTATACCGGGCTGCCAGACGACTGGACAATTGCCGTTAGCGATAACGGCTGGACTACGAATGAACTCGGTCTTGCTTAGGTCCAGCACTTTGACCGTTATACAAAAGACTGGACGGTTGGCGCCTACCGTCTTCTTATTCTTGACGGGCATAAAAGCCATTCTACGCCCGAATTCGACCAGTATTGTACGGAGAATAAGATTATTACGGTCTGTATGCCGCCGCATACCTCACATCTTCTTCAGCCGCTTGATGTTAGCTGTTTTCGCCATTAAAACGGGCGTACGGAAATGAGGTTTCCCGACTCCCTCGCTACGGGACCTTTCACGTAGATAAGCGGCTGTTTCTAGAAATATATACAAGAGTACGGCCTTCTGTCTATACGGGAGTAACCGTTAGAAGCGGTTTTTCAGCAACCGGACTCGTACCAGCAGACCCGCAGCAAGTTCTATCGAATCTTACGGTTATAAATCGGACGCCGTCTCCGCCAACAATGTCTCTTGAAGAGATATGGACGTCCGAAACGCCGCGTACAGTTGCTCAGCTAGAGCAGCAGGCTAAGCTTATACGGGAGCTCCTTCAGCGGTCGTCGCAGAGCCCTTCAAGCCGTGCAGTAGGGCAAGTCATTAAGGGTTGCGAGCTCGCGCTCCACGCAGCGGCGCTACTTGCGGCCGAAAATGCGGAGAGGGAGATGGCTCAACTAGACGCTCAGCCCGCGCGGCGACGGGCACCGCCGACGTGCTCGAAATGCCACATTCAAGGCCACAATCGGACGCAGTGTAGAGCTACTTAAGAACCATATAACGTGGTTCACCAACGAGTGGGCCACACCAATGAGTGGGCCACTTTTGCCAAGACCCCACCAAACCAACAACACCATCATAATGTGTCGCGGTTTACGATACAGCTCAGGTGCTCCTTCGAGATGTCAGCACCTCCTACCATACCAGATGGCAGCACCTGCACATGAGCAGTGGCACTGCCCATCCGAGACTAGCTCTGTTTACTGCGAGCACCTATATAACTGCTCGTAGTTACTTTCAATACAAGACAAGTTCAATCTCTCAATTTCCTCTGCACATTTGTATCGTCCACAATTTCCAACAGGATCTGATCGTGAGTTACGCAGGGGTGTAATGTGAGTAATGAGTAAGCAGCTTGAGCTGTGGCTGAGCCAGCCTGAGCTCGCCGTGAGCCAACATGAGCCAGCGTGATCGTGCCTGATGTCCTCCCTGAGTAGCATGAAAAGGGTCTGAATTTGGGTCCCCATCAGTCAGTAGGGATGTGTGAGGTGTCGGGGACTGACTGGTCCCATTTTCGGGACACAACCTTCCGTGGCTTAGCTCTATGACCCCTGTGCCGGCAATACTTTCCTTCCACTCATAGTTCCTCGCAACTACTCGGACAATCAAATACGTGTATTCAGCTACTGGTAATAATAGTTGTAATTTTCGCACACGAAATTAGACAGTACAGCCCACACTTGAAAGTAGAGTTGAAAGAGTTTTGAACACCTAACTTTATTCATATCTCGAGTTGCAAAAGGACTCTGCATTGATGGGCTATCGATATCAGCTGGTTGAACGATCATCTAAGGCCCTTGACAGTAGTAGCAGTAGCAGTAGCTCACCGACCTTTACGGTAAGGTTGGCGTAATATTTGGAGTGCTGTAGCTAGACAGGAAAGGAAGACGGGTCGACAGATGACTACAAGAGGATTGAGAGGGGCTACGCAGGACAAAACATCACCAAGGCGAAGTACAGGATCTGCCACCGCCACCACCAGGGGCCTTCTCTTAGACTGAAGAATTGCTTAACGGAGCACCTCCCCAACGAGCTGAGGCTTTGCATTCTGGGTGATCCATCGCCGTTTCAAACCGGGCTAAATAGTCATAAGCCCCTTGATGACACACCTGGAGACGAGCTGGAGATATCTGATTGGAGAACGAAGCCGCAATGGAAGGTAGATTGGTGGTCCTCGAGGAGGCTGTGAGAATCCATAGCGAGCGGGCCATGCTGTGCAGAGTCATATCATGCTCACCGGGAGGGACGGCAGGATATCGTTCCGTCTAGCGCCTCTTTGCTGCCTGGATAGTGATGTGGGCGGCGCATGATGCATAATGAGCATGGTATAGACAGCTGGTGCCAGTGGACCTCCATACTGTACTGGACAAAGACAGGACACTGGCCCAAAGGATACTCTGAGCAGAGTGACAAAAACATGAGCCATCTACTTGCCAGGCAGAAGTCTTCGGGCTCCCTTCGCCGGAGGAAATCTCCGCTCGTCTCTGTTGATCTAGCTTCTGTCGCGACGAGCTCTGTCGCGCCAAGCTCAACAACACCCAGCGACCAAAAGCCACGAGACGTCAAGAGCGCTTCTTACCAAGATCCACGTTATAAGACTTTACTTGCGACGAAGGGAAGCTTTATGATTAAATCCAACCTTAACGTTAACAAAGGAAGTAAGACGCTTTGCCGCTCCTTGCTTAAGAAGGAGCAAAACGTTCACGAGCAGTCTTTGTTTCGCGACGACCACTTTAAGCAAACCTTCTAAAAGATTTAGAATTAGAATAAAGCCAGGGTTATTCAAGACATTAGTCGATTAATCGTACCTTCGGCAGAGGCCCTGACAACATACGAAGCCAAGCATCTAAAGGTCTTAATCAAAAGTGTTAACAAAGGCCGGAACAACTCCTTCCCCTTAACAGGCACGCGTCCGCAGCCTGACTACTCTATAGGATTCAAGCAGGAAGCATTTACTAACGAGCAGCTCGACAAGCTTGCCCCATTCATTAGCAACTTCATCTCCGGCGATCAGTCGTTCTTCATGGCCACGTACTACATGTACTTCCCGTTCCTTACTTGTAAGGTGAAGTGCGGTGCTGCAGCGCTCGACATCGCGGACCGACAGAATGCCCATTAGCATGACACTTGCGGTGAGAGCTACCGTCGAGCTCTTTAGACTCGTTGGTCGTGAGATAGAGCTCATCGCGAGATTCTCGCCTTCTCAGTCTCGCATGACCACAGGTCGGTAAGAATCTATGGACACTACGTAGTCATTAATGGAAAGGACACCAAGTACTACCGCCATACAATCCATGAGTTTAGCTTTATAGCTCTAGATAGAAAGGAGAAATGGACGGCATACAAGTTCACCAAGAACGTCTACGACATATGGATGCCGAATCACTTCAAACGGCTATGTTCGGCTATGGACCAAATACCAGCAGACCTGGATTTCAGTGTTCCACAACTTTCCCAGAGTTTTGGACTTTCAGAAGACCTTCAGCGCCATAATCTTTCGGGATCAAGCCAGCCTGAATCTCAATCACAAGGAAACAGTCAGCAATGTACTGGCGGCGGCGCAAGGGACTCCACGCCCAACACCTCTTTCACTGGCCATGGCGCGCCGAAGAGGCCCAGGAAAAGGCTCGCTGAAGGACAGTAGTGCAAATCGGGCAACTATTGTATGTAATGATCTGTCTAGGCATTCAGATAACTCAGTTTACTCCCTGTTTTGCAACGCTACAAGTGCCCTGGCAAGTCTGGACAGGCTTGTCATCAAATAAATCAAATCAAATTGGAGGTTCAATTTGATTTGATTTGATACTAGCATGTATTGATTTGATTTGATTTGATTTGCCAAGATTTAGATCTATTTGGATATCTGGATAGTTAGTTCTTAGCATTATGATGCTATTTGAATAACCCGGTTCTTTTCCCAAGACGATATACATTGAGCTGCTCCTATAATATCCGCTTTGAGCCGGCTTCTTTGAGGTGTAACCATCTGCCCTGTAAGGCTGAATATCCGTTCCGGCTCAGAAGACATCGCGGGGATTGAAAAGAGATCAATTGCCATACGGGAGAGGCGTGGATACTGACGTCTTCGAAGAAGCCAGTACTGAATTGGATTATCCACCAAACAGTCGCCTGGGTCGGTAGTGGCCACCCATTCTGCGTACTCGTCGCGTGTAGGCGACGGTGAAGGTGCAGGCTGAGTGCTGAGCTTCCTAATTGAGGCCATAAAGTCATCTAGGTCGGTTGTCTTCTTTGTAACGGTGGATTGCTCAGGCATAGTATCCTGCTCGACAGGGAGCTTTCGATACTCCTCCCACAGCGCTTGCACAGCTATCTTTCCTCTCGCCAACCAATCAGGGTGATCTATCCATTGTGACTCGACGGTTGACCAGCGGAAGGCAGGATGGAGGACAAGGGTGGCGAGGTAAACAGGGCTATCCTCGGTGAGGGCGTAGTATTCATCCATCTTTATCCAGCCAAGATTGCAGCCAATTCGTAGGTGTGGTTCTTCATCTCGTTCGTGTTGGATTTTGGTCTCTTCCAGGTGCTTAAGAAGCCACTCCATTGTTAGCAGAACCTCCCAGATTGCACCAAATTTCCCTAGAGTCTATAAGTTTAAGTATTACATAGCTAGGATTAACTCACCTTCTTCAGGTCGGCCTTCAAGGCGCTTGGTAGCTGTCTTCAACGGCTTCAATATAGCCAGATACTCTGCAATCACCGACCAATCCTCAGCAGACATCTTATCATCAACAATCGCCGGCTTCTTTCGACTCTTTTTTGGCATCGGTTTTGTCTCCTTATCGGTCTTCCTAGCCACGTATTGGTTCCACTCCGTTACCTGTGCTTGGACCATGGTATCAAGTGGGTTCCGAAGCCGGTAGCCCCGCTCCATCATCGCCTCAGATGAATTCCAGCGGGTAGCGTTATCTGTGAAGACATCGTAGGTTGTTTTGTCTTCAAGATTCAAAGCGGTATTCCAGCGCTTTCGGCGTAGCGTAATCCGTAGCATAGTGGCCCTACTACGTTACGGTGAAAGGCCTCAAGCCCTACGTACGTACGCTACGGCTGAGGATCTCTGGCGTACGGCGTAATTACGGTGTACGGGCGTAGTACGGAGAAAAGTGTATACAATTTTCCTAATTAGGCAAAGCCTGTGAACGATTTCTTCTGGATACATGTAGTCAGCTCGTTGAGGTAGCTTTTAATAACGCCTCTTCGGAGCCAGTTCTTCTGAAGTTGTAGAACCTCGATTAACGCCGGCGACAGTAAATTGCGATCGCACGTGATCGTACGTTTGGCTGTACTGAAGGCCCTCTCACAGTCGCAGGACGTCGCTGGCACTGACAAGTAATCCATCGCTAGCTTGTAAACAATAGGAAAGCGCGTCCTGCCTTCCTCTACCCACTAGCGGTGTGAGTCATCTATAAGGGCGTTGATCTTTGGATCCTTTTCCGCCGCTAGTAAGTCCTTGTAGAGGCTGTTGATATACTCGTCAAGCTGAGTTATACGCTTTTAACGCTTGAAGCTACGCTTGCCAGTAAGGAGATGTACGTCGACGTTCATCGTACGTAGACGTCGCTCGTCAGTTGCATAAGATCCAGGAAGCATTCGACAAGTAGGCTCCTCAGTATCCTCATCTCGCTCGTTAGGCTCGTCCTTGGCGTTGAGATATTGTTAAAAGACGTCTCTCAACGAGCGCTCAGCTTTCTAGTGCCAATTAGGAAACTTCTTCTAGTAGGTCTTGAACTATAAAAGACGGAGGCGAGGATAGAGTGCAGTCGCGACGCAATATACGGACGGCGTAGGCTCAATAACAAGCTTTGCCAGAGAGATGCCGCCTGACAGGTACGCTGATTGTTTGACGCCAGGGACCTCGTCAACGCCGTCAGTAAGCCACTCGTATATCTCTTGCAAGTTGACAATCGTCTGCCAGAGGCTGCCAAAGCCGCTCTGACTAGCGTTGCCTTCAAGGCTACGACTAGTTGAGTAGAATAGCTGCAAGACCTCGTTAGTAGCAGTAACCTCGTCCCAGTCGTCATTAGTAAGGGCGTTGTTAGGGAGATAGCCTTCGGTAGTAGTAGCGGCGTCCTCCTCCTCGTCAGTAGTAATAGTTTCAAGTCGTACTTTCTTGAAGTAACGTCGAATCGTCTCTTTGAGCTTGTCGCAGCGGAGTAGCATAAGATAAAACGCTGTGCCAGCGTACGCCGCCATCCTTGACAAGATTAAGCGTCGAGTAATTGTACAGCTCTCTCTTGTTAAGTACGCCTTTCTGAATAGTCTTAAAGGCGCGCCGACGCTTATAGGAGTTGTAGACTAAGTTAATAAAGTTTTATAGCTTTCTAACAACGCCATAACTCCTATACAACTTGAATTGCTGTTGCAGAGATGCCTAAGCTAGCTCTTCCTCAAATTTGCTTACGCCTTTTCTGTATATTAGAGCTTTAGTAATGAGATTGATGATATGGCCTGCGCAACGTATACGGCACTCGCTCCCGACGTAGAGATCTGGTGGCGTAATTACGTCTATGGCCTTAATGAAAGTCTTATCGAGTCGACGAGAGACGCCAGCAACTATTCCTTCTGCCAAGGAGACTGGCCAAAGGATGGCTGGCTGCCAGCTACAGCGACAGCGGCCTCAAAAGGATTAGCTGGCTAGTGAGCAACGGGCGCAGGCATCAGCCTACTGTCAGGATTGAGCTTGTGCGCCTTCTTGAGGTGCTCTTTGATATGCCTTGTACTGTTGACGGCAAAGCAACAGTACGAGATCTTTCTCTTATAGCACAACTAGTACAAGAAAATAATAGATTTGCTAATTAGATCGTCCTCTAGATACTCCAGCTTAACGCTGTATTTCTATATAGACGCTAGGGATCTCTTGCCAAGCAGCTGAGATTTACTCTTGACGCGAAATCCTACACGGCCACTACGCAGGTGGCGCTTGCTATGCCAGAGCCTCTCCTAATTGATATTAAAGCGTGGGCCTGTTGCTAAGTCTGTATACTCATGATTGACGGCTAGGGCGTTTGTATAATTAAAAGACTGGCTTTTAGTACTAGCAATAGTGCTGGCATAGCTCTGCGACGCGGAGGAGTTCAATACCTGGCTTTTTTTAAGAGCTTTGGCGGCGGCGGCGGCAGAAAACCTTCGAGACGCGGCATGATGATAGGGCTCAAAGGCAGGCTGCTGACCTGCCTGCGAGGCCTAGGAGCTACGAGAGCTACGAGTAACAAAGCTGTTCATAACGACGACGATATACACGTTGGAAAGAGATAGAGACGGTACGAGAGATGGGCCCTACTCGTCGACAGCAAAATTTTCTATAGTGGGTGTTACACGGCAGAAAAACAGTTACACCAACCCACGAACAATATGCCACCCCCAGCACGAGATCCGCCGCCTTCGAAAGGTCATGTCATATATATAAGCTCGGGTATATAGCTTCCGCGCACATTTAGCTCCCGCGCACCCCACCAAAACGCTATACCTGTAAAAAAAGACGCGATATTTCTCGACAACGCCCTTATAATTGCCATTGAGTACACATAGATTCAAGAGTTGCAGCTGCTGCAGCTGCTGCAGCTTTTTTAGCAGCTCTCTCTGGAGCAGTTTTTTCTAGCTGCGCTGCTGTAGCTGCTGATCTGCGTATTGCCACCATAATATTCCCGACTTCTGTAAAGCGTTGAGTTGGGTCTACTTGAACACGCTTTCGAGGGGCTTGAGGGAGAGCGATCTCTAGTTTAGCCTCAAGGCGCCTTTTCTGTGCTTCTAGCGCTGCTGCTCTAGTATTTGCGTTTGCTAGCGCCTTACTTGCTTTCCGTAATAGGACCAAGATTTTCGCAACTCTGGATATCCTGCTGGGCAAGGTAGATATCGCGAGGGCCCTGAGGGGTAGAGAGGAAGGCCTCAATAGGTGATTGAGCTTGCCTTGGGCGTGAAGGCGTAATTGGCTGGTGCGAGACTTGTGATGAGCTAAGCACCTGGTTGATATTAAACGGGTAGAGGCCAGCAGCCCGCCAACCAGCCCGAATTACACGATCTGTAAAGCCTTCCTCTCGAGCTTGATAATAGCAGGTAATAAAGCGCTCCTTCTTGACAGGCGCTGCGTCGTCGAGCGAGGCTAGGCTGTTGATCTGGCGGCGGTACTTGGTCTTGATAACGGAGAACGGAGCGAGGTCTAGAGGCTGTAGGACGTGGGAGGAGTGCGCAGGTAGATAGAGAAGGTAGACTTTATTCTGCTTGCAGAGCAGGAGGAAGTCTAGATCAATATGGCTGCCATGACCGTCAAGAATCAGGAGTCGGTATCGGCCCTCCACTGGCGCCGTCTCAGGAAGAAATATACGCTGTAGCCACTCAAAACCTATCTCGTTTGAGGTCCATCCATTCTGAGACGTTGTAAAGAGCCAGCTAGGTACTGATTCAGCAGGGAACCAAGTTGATTGTAGGCTCTGGCCCTTGAAGATAACTCCAGGGCGTAGCTTCCGCCCTGTCGCAGATACGCACTCAATTATCGACACCCACTCGCGACTCTCTGGCGACTTGACTTCAGCCTTCTTCTTTGATGCTTTGACAAGGACGCGGGTATTCGTACATACGCCTAGGGCGATGCCTGTCTCATCCATATTGTACGTATCCTCCGGCCGTATATTGAGGCGCTCTCGCGTCTGCTCATAGAGCTCGAGGAACGCGCGTAGCTGATCTGGTGTAGCCGCCTCGACTCTCTGAGCATCAATCTTCCGGCCGATAACTGAGGCGACGCGTGGTTGGCGCTTGACAAAGTGTGAGATCCAGAGCTTGCCGACAGGTTGATCGTCGCCGTTCATACGTAGAATTCGATTCGCCATTTCTCGCGCACGAGCGTGGGGAGGAGGGTAGCCGCGCGCGTCCTCTTTAAGGATCTAGTCTACAAGGAAATCTTCTTGGAGAGAGGTTAGTCGCTGTTGGTGTTCGTGGCTATTTTGTTGATTTGTTGCGCCATTGATTCGATCGCGTAAGGTAGAAGGAGGAATACCGTACGCCTTAGCAGCCGCGCGCTGGCTAGTATAAACACCTGTATTGAGATCGCTGATAGCTGATTGTATAGCTTGCTCACGGGCATCCATATTGAAGGGCGTTGTTGAGAGATATCGCGTCTTTTCTGCAGGTGTCGCGTTTTGGTGGGGTGCGCGGAAGCTATATGTGCGCGGAAGCTATATACCCGAGCTTATATGAAATCCGTATAAATATTACGGCGTACAAGCGTACTTTATGGTGGCAGAGGTATCTACGTACGGCACCGTATTTCAAAGATATGCCCTACGTACTTACGCTACGGGGCACTTCCGTAGCGTAGACTACGGCTCCGTACTACGCTACGCCGAAAGCGCTGCGGTATTCTCAATAAGCTGGAGCTGGTGGAGCTTGTGAATACGCTGGCCAGATCTTTGCACCCAGTGCACAATATTGTGTAGCTTGCCAATTGGGCCTTTCGACCTCCAGAGCCTCATCTCATCTTGAACCTCTTTGTCGGCTTGGCATTCCTCCTCAAAGGCGTCGGCATCCGTGCCAAAGAGTATAGATCGGGCGACGAGGTTAATAATATGCCCGCAGCAGCGAAGCCGCCGATGCTGCTTATTAAAGCCAGATTCGATGCCTAGATCTTCGAAACACGTGTCGTTATTGTCCGCATTATCTGTAACAAAGTATCCGATACGATCCTCAAAGCCAAATTCGTCAATTATTTCACCAACGCGTTCTGCAAGATTCTCGCCCGTGTGGCGGCCCTCGATTTGCGGGAGGCCTAGAAGGAATGTACGAAGCTTCCCTTCTTCATCAAGAAAGTGTACGGTAAGGCCGAGGAGGGAGGTGAACTTGCGGGAGGACCAAGCATCAAAGGAGACATTAATCCTGCTAATTGAGCGGCCAAGTAGCTCAGTTACGACACCTTTGTGGCTATTAAAGGACCGTACAATCCATTCACGGATTGTATTATGTGTAGGCAGACTTCCTGACTCAATAATAGCGCTGTTTGCGTATTCCATAAGTTCGCGGAAGTACGAACTCTCAAGCTTATCAAATGGAACGTTGTCGCAGGCCACCCAGCGTATAAGCAGATGTTGAAAGTGTAGAGGATCGAATGATGCTATAAAAGCGTTCATTACGGCTTGATCCTTCGGTCGATGAGAGTTCAGATTAGTTAGGTCAAAGAAAGTGCGTTGTTTCTTCCTTAGCGGTGACAATAGCCCGTCTTTATTGACGCGGTGAACATCTTCCATATGGCCGTTTGCTTGGCTTGTAGATGCGGCATCGTACATGTGAGTGATTGTGGCCATACATGGGCATCGTGATAAATCATGATAAATCTGAGCCGATTTATCATATCACGTTATCATCGTAGGTCCATTTATCATTATCATGATTTATCATGATTATCATGATCTATCACGTTCATACATGGGCGCGGGCGGCATGGTTTCTCCCGCGAAAAGTGAAGTTTGGATGCCCCCCCCCCCCCCGCTACGAATGGTCCCATCTTCGCTTAGGAAGATGGGACCATTATTTCTTGGCGCGCACACAATGCTATACTGCTAAATCCTGCTAAATCCTGCTTATCCTGTTCTGCCAAATCGCTCCCTCATTTATCCTGATAATGCTAAATTGAAGTCGATTTAGCATGATATAATCACGTTTATCACGATTTATTACGATTACAAAATGATCAATTTACAGGCTATCCACGACCTCTAGAAGTTCCGTTTCCATGACGTCTTGATCATCCACTACCTCTCCAACTGGCAGGCCAAGTCCATCTTCATGTAATGGCTTGACATGGTCTTCCCGCAGCCAACTGGCGATACATTCTATCATTTCGATCTTTATACAACTTAAACGTAGCCTGTCCCATGAACAAGTTCTCCGAGCCCCAGAAAACGTCCGTTCAGGCTCTGCCGATTCTGCCGGTATAGAGTGAATGGCGATGGCCATTCGGCTCAGCCGAGGATATTGACGACGCTGTTCTGAGCAACACCACCATTCCAGCGGTGTTAACCCGTCAATATTGATTGTATCAGCTGCGATAAAAGCCTTACAGTCGTCGATATGGGTAGTTGAGTTAGATTTGACTTTCAGCGTGTCCAGAATGGAATCAAGCTCGTTTCTAATCGGCTGTGGATAGGGAGACGTAGGAGGACTTGAATTGAAGATACCGTCGTCTGCTAGTGGATCAATCGAAGCGTAATCGTCCCAACGCGTCCAACAGTACGTAATACGGTTGGTACGTTCCACTTCCTTACAGTTACACATACCGTACGTAAGTAACAGCCTCTCAACCGTTACATTACGTTTGTGAAGCTTAAACAGACAACCATATTACAGTTGTATAAGCGTTTTTAGTGTTTTGTTAGAGTTTTGTTAGAGAGGTTAGCTAAGGTAAGGTGGTGATGTAGTAAGGGCTGCTCCTGTAGTGTAACTATTAGTGTATGCCGTACAACAAGCAGAGTTTTCTTAATTACCTACTATAACAAAGGGGTGTTTTTCTCTAAGTATTCTCTCACAAAATAACATCTCCATCCCATCTCTCCTAATTGCTATTGCCTATCTTGTTAATATAAGTCTCTAACACTTCCTTTAAGCTGGCCGCCTGCGCTGTACTAACAGCTAAGCTGTTGCCTCCTCCTCCTCCTCCTTATTAACCCCACACTACCACCACGCAGGCTCTTAAAGGCTTAAAAAATTACAATCATCATTAACCTTATCATCTTAAGAGGGCTTGCTATCTCTAGATGTACAATCTAAAGAGTTCCTAAAGGACTCTTAACTCAACGCTAGCTAGAAGTTTCTAATTAAGTAGGACAATATATATGTTAATAAAAAGAAGCTAAGAGCTAAGAAGCTAAGATACTAAGTAAAGCACCTCAGCGCTCTTTAAGAAGGGCGTAAACTGTTAGCTGTTTAGCTCTATAAAGCAGATTTACAGTATAGGGATAAAGACAGCTAGAAGGTAAAAGTGTGGCTCTGTAAGCTCTGCCACTCTTAAAGACTTTAAGAAGCTAGCAAATTTGTTAACAGCTACACCTATATTGTTGCTTATCTGCAGAAGGATTACTAAATAGATGTAGCTAGAGGAGCGCTTTTACCTAACAGTCCTTGTACCCTAAGCAGCCTATAGAAAGCAGCTGTAGGAGCAGCCTGCGTAGTCTCTTACAGGCTGTGGGATAAGGAAGCTCTACAGAGCGCAGTAGTTAACTAGGTTATCCTACAGGACTAAACCTTCTGTAATGCATTGTTAGCAGAACTTCAGGCAATCCTTACCTAGAACTGTGGCAACCTTCTCGCAGCCCTACCGTTGTCAGCAACTACTATCTCTTTCTACGTAAACTTAGGTTTTGCGCAGCAGAAGGAAGAGATTTAAACAGTACTAAGAATAGCTAAATCTAAAATTGCGTTAAGCGTTAATATATAGACTTCTCTAAACTACCTCTCCTTTCTTAGTGTAGTGTCGCACTTTGTAGGTTAGTGTTCTTAGCAGATCTCTAGGCAGGCTAGAGTAGCGTCTTAGCAGCGCAAAAATTAAAACATTTACTAACTACACATAAATTAGATGCTAACTACTGCTAATAAGACTTACTTATTAGCTTTAACAACCTATTTAGCAACCATACAGGTAAGAACTAGGCGTAGGCTATTATTATTAGACAGAGGGCTTAAGGTTTAATTAAAGCTACAGAGGAAGCTATTTATCTGTAGAAATGCTAAAGCGCTAACCCTAATCACGTGCAAGGGCAAACGCTAAGGAGGCACCCTCCAACAATTATTAAGGTCATCTAGGATTACAACGTCACGTTAAAATTTAGTTGTTTTGTTGCTAACAACGCGTCTAATAACAATTCTACAACTATCGCCCACCTTGCAGAACATCTTAGTACCAAGCTTAGCAATAAGCACCGCCTACGCTGCGCTAGCTATACAATACAACTAGTAGTAAAGGCAGTTATATACAGACGCAGAATTAGTTAATTTAAAGCTGCCCTAGCTAGAGCTGCTCCTTAAGAGCAGTTTAAGCTTTATTAAAAACACAAGGTTATTAGAAAGTTACATAACTTTATTAACACTATACTCTTCTTACACAAGCGCTGTAAAGCTTTTAAAGCTGTACAATAAAACCTTAGCAACAACAATAAGCTCTAGAGCTTTAGCACCTTTAATTTAATACAAGATAGCAGCGTCTGCTAGCACTTAACCTACCTTATGCTTCTCTGCTGCCTCTATCTTAAAGATGCTATTACAAAGTTTATATGCAAATAGCAAAGAACAGATAACAATAACTCTTACGTACCTAGTAACACTGCGCTTTAAGAAGTTATACGCAACAACAAGTAGAAGGAGGTTAAGCGCCTTACAAACTTCCTTAAGCTGTTCTATTAAATAACTAAGAGGCTTAAGGGCAACTGTAAGCAAAGTTCTCTATAGATAACTATTATTAACCTCTAGGTGCTGTATAAGAAGCTTCTATAGGTAAAAGTTAAAGTTAAGCTAGAAGTACCTAACTCCTACCTTAAAAACAGCGTAGCCTTTAGGCTTAAGAAGCTTCTAACATACTAGGAGAAGCTAATACTTAATCTACTAGTGTCATACTACGCAGTTGCAACTGTTCTTTACCTACGCCTCTAGCTTTACTAGTTTAAACAACACTAGCGTAAACACAAGCTCTAGCATAAAAAGGCTAAGTCCTCTATAAAGGAGATCTTCTAGCGCTACGTTAACGCAGAGGAGCAGGTAGAGCCTAAGCTAACAGAGATCCCCTAGCGGAAAATTCCTGCCTCTAGAGGCCTCCTTAAAGAGACTCTTAGTGTTAACTCTACCTTCTTTACTAGCTAAAAAGCGTACAAGCGGGTGAAAAAAACAACAGAGTTACAACAATACTACAACAGCTTGTTTAACAACCTTACAGAGGCAAAGGACAACAGTCCTCTATAAGGAGAGCCTCTCACTTAGTGGCTTAAGGTTAGTTGTAATACGTACCTAACTCTGTTCAAAATCGCCCTTAATTTCCTCTCTATACTAAGCACTAGCTGCGACTGCGAGAGAGCCTTCAGCAGAGGCAGGAGGACTGTTACAATTAATAGGAATTCTCTTAGTAGGGCTACAATTAAGGCGCTACAACTACAGAAGAACTAGCTCCATTAACAAGTAGTTTATAGTGAGCTTAACACTCTAGCTGACCATATACGCAGTTAAAAACCAACTGTTACGTTTGTGCAACTGTAAGTCCTCTTAGCGTCTAGTCAACTGTACGTAAGTAACTGTAATCTGAGACGTAGCGCTGACAAAGTTGGTAGTACCGTAACGTAATACTTCCTGTTGGACGCGTTAAATCGTCCAGCCACATCTGATATGCCAATTCGATTGATGCGCTGTGCCAGCTTTCAGGCCAATTCTGTTTGATGTATGCGACCCGACGAGAAGGGTCGAGTAGAAGGGCGGCGGCATAAACAGGGGCCTCTTCAGTCATTTGGTAGTATTTATCAATGATAAACCACCCCATTCCGATAGCATCAATCATTCTCTGATCGTACGATTCGGGCTTGGAGTAGAACTCCTTCTTCCTCTCGTAATGGACTAGGAGCGCGTCGAGTAGAACCAGCGATTGAGAGATTGATGACTTATTACCTTCTGAATACAGCGTGGCGCCTGTAAATGGTTGGAGAAACCGATGAGCTTTCTCCAGAAAGCCCCAATCCACTGCGGTAAGTCGGTTATCACCAAGAGATTCTTCGTGATCTATCATAAACTCAATGATCTTCGTCTTCTTCCGTAGCGCCTTGTCTACCACGGTATACCATGAAGACCAGCGGGTGGCATTATCAATGCCTAAACGCAAGCCTACCTGATCGTCCCATTGATCTGAGTGAATCGTTGAGCTACGGATCCAGACCGCAAGGTTATGGAGCTTTCGGAAGGTTGGTAAAGCACTGATCGTGCCATCATCGGAAGTTGTACTAGCTATACTAGCTCTCCGTCGCCGTCGTGGTCGCGGTTGATGGGACAAAGCCTCTGTGAATCGAGGGAGAAGGTCTTCGCCGGGAACGCCGGCTGCAGCTTCGAGGGCAGCTTCTAGAGCTTCTTTTGAGGACGCGGAGAGAAAGGCTTGAAGGGAAAGGTTGATGATATGGCCGATACAACGAATACGGCGCTTTGAAGCGCTGAACCGGATGCCTTTAGCTGAAAGACGGGTTTCTATTGATCGAAGACATGTATCGTTTGATGTAGCATTATCCCCTGTATGAAAGCCAATATTAGACTCAACACCAAACCGTTCAAGCGTCGCGATAATAAGGGAAGCTTGATTCTCGCCAGTATGGCTGTATCGGCATTCAGGAAGACCTAGGAGCGCTTTCTGGAGCTCATACTTCTCATCCACCCACTGCGCGCAAACAGCCAGCATGCCATGTCGATGAGGAGAAGTCCACAGATCAGACGCGATATGAATGGGAGAGACTGCCCCTAAGAGGCTTGTTCTGATTTGATCGCAATAGAACTCGTAATTGGCAAATGATCGTACGCATAACAGATCTTCTAGATGTGATCAAAAGATCCTCGATGGCTGGATTACAAGCTAGAGCCAGATCTTTCATCTCTCTCCATTCTACGGCTGAAAATGGGACTCTCCTTCGAGTCAGGAGGCCAATAATGGCTTCCTTGTATCGCTGTTGATTAAAACTCGTGCGGAGAAGGTTGGGAGAGGCTATCGGCGGCAGCATCGTCGCAATCGATCGTTGATTCGGGGTCAGGGGCAAGATGGACGCTGAGTGACGTCGTAAGACATGTTCTCGAGCTGAGCCACGATTACCATGGCTCCAGCTGGAGCATTGTGTACAGGAATAGAGGATTTTACCTCTCTTTCGTTTCTGGCCGACGGAAGCTTCATCAAGCTCAGGATAGCTGGATCGAATAAAGATATTAAAGCCAGGAGGGTCTTGTGGAGTAGAAGATCGCGAATGACCCGTTTGGGAAGAGATAATCGATGAACATGGTTGGTTCGCTGCAGGAAGCTTGATTAAATCTCCGAGGTTGACAGGCATCCTGCAGAAATTTAGGTGCCAAGACCAAATCATGATAAATTATGATTTATCACGGTTGGAATGGATTTATCATTTATCACGCTTGTGGCGTTTGTGGCGGATTTATCATGATAAATAAGATTTATCACGATTTATCATGATAAATGTGCCCATGTATGATTGTGGCTTTCTTCTGGTGGCACTTTTTACAGAGCCAGAAGCGGTCACCGGAGCCATCTTTTTCGATATCGTATCCATAATCCCACACCCAGCCCGTACGAGGCCTTCTTCTATGTTTACGTATATGATAGCCTGGAAGGCGACTCCAGTTAATGCCTTCGTAGCCAGTGTAGTCGACTGATGACGAGGTGTCTACAGTCACCTCTCTGCTGGTATCAGATGGATTAAGGTCGGTAGGGGTTTCAAGGTCGCTATGAGCGGTAGAAAGAGCAGTAGAAAGTACAGTTGCTGCCTCATCGGCGTTCGTAGATGGAGCCATTTACAGTAATGATGTTAGATGCAAGCAGCTGTCTATATGAAGGAATGAGTTAATTGGCCTCTAACTCGCGGAGGTAGAGACTGAATATATACTTAATAGTACGACAGGCAACATGAAGCCACAATAAGTTATGACAGGCCATAATAGTAAGGAGTGACTCAGAGATGAGCCAGACTAGGCAGAAGCGCGGCTAACAGTCTTTGCAACGAATGTTGCTGTCTGAACCTGTCCGTACTTTGCTGCACCGTCCGGCAATCTCCTGCAGACTCCTGCAACCTCTTGCAGTCTGCCCTATCTCATAATATGCAAGTACAGGGACTATGTAGCCTCGTCACCTCCTTGTGTCCCTCACCCCCTGCAATACGAGGGATGTGTAACATCGCTACCCCTCTCTGTACTACCCCACCTTAGCATGACCTGGCACCGCACAACGTTCACAGGGATTTAGGAGAGGGTATATAGAGCTTTGTAGCCTACTAGAAGAAAGAAGACACCAGAGATACCAGATACAGAGAACCAGTTGTTCATTCCCTTGCTGCCTGTGAACCGACAGTTGCCTAACGCTGGGAACGGTGATTGGGCAATATTTCAACAGCGGAGGTTGAGTACTGCCGCCATTAAAAACCTATCCAAATTATTCAAATATCCAAATAAATCCGGGTGTCATGATTTGATTTGATTTGGATAGATATATTCTCGATTTGATTTCATTTGATTTGCCAAGATTTGGATCGATTTGGATTTGATTTATTTGTTGACAAGCCTGAGTCTGGACAGTGTCCTGATATACTATTGATATCTGCGAGAGCAGGATTGGTTATATCCTCGCTCAGCATCAAGGATGTTTTTCGGATGGTTTGACGAATCACCTTCTCGACATATTTCTCTTCTCGCTCCAGCTTTGACAAATGATGTGGTAGATGATTGATTGTATTGTTGTGGATGCTCAGGAGAGCCTAAGGTAGGTGCACGATGTATCACGTGACTAATGGTTATAACAACAAACTACTGTGTATGCCCAGCCTGGCTCGCATGGCCGTCATCGCATTTCCTCTTTTTGCCTAAGTATTGATCAGTTAACTCGATAACGAGCTGGTTCTTGCGCCCTCCTTTGCTGCCTCCTCTCGGAGCATGTGCGTCCTCCAGATCTTCTTCAGTATCATCAACGGATGTCGCGGCCTGCTGCTGCAGGTGAAGGGACATTAAACTCTCAGCGCCCCTAATGTCGATTACGGCGTTAAGGTTTGCGGTACGTGGGTCAAGCTTACACTGGTGGATAGTACAACTCTGGCTGAGGGTACGAACCTCTCCTTCTTAGATACTTCTTTGCAGCGAGGATAATTCTATAGGCATTTGAAATGCAGAAACTGCGTTAGTGATTGGCTGGTTCACAGAGGTGCGTGAGGAGTCATAGAACTGTTTGGTGCATTAAGCGGAACTTAGACAAGTGTCTTTTTATGTTATAACTTCCTAGCTAAATAAGACAACACTAAAGCTTTAACAGCTAACTAATAAGCCTCTACATTATGCAGCGACTGTAGGCGGTCATGGAGATCCCTGAGTGGGATTTCATGCGTTAAACTGCTTCCTGCTGTGCTGAGTGGCTTTGCTAGCAGCCTTACACATGAATGAGTATGTTTAAACCTTGTCACTTATTGTTTGCTAACGTGTCATGATTAATTGGTTAATCGTGTGCTATTAAGCATGCCTTAGACCCTAGCAGAAGGCTGTGGGCAGGAGTAATGCTCATCTATTAAAACATCTTTAGCCACTTTTAATGCTATCTTAACTCTGTTATCTTGGCCTCTCATTAAAATATTTTCACGTTATAACATCTACCCCTATTATAATTTTTAAGGAACTGAAGCGGAACCGATTAGTACGTATGGAAGCAACGTATACTATAGGAAGGATCCATGATCTAACTTAAGCACTATATAAATTAACTTAGAGAGTGATGATGATGAGATAGGGGGGCCAAAGCGGGCGTTGAAGCCTCAGTATAATGATCTATCATCATTAAAAGTTACTTACTAGGAAATAATTTTTCCCAGATTATATAAGATCTCCTCCTCTTTAAATCTTAAATAGAGCGAAGGTTCCTCATTATAAACGCAGTCTATAGATACATAACTATGCGGTAATATAAACTGCAGTTTCATATATAGAGTACCGCATCTTATATTAATTATGAGAGTACGAGGCCTTACTGATGACCAGATTGGTATTGCACTTCAATCTGCCAGGAAGCCCATTAAGAATATTTTGCCTCAATTTCCTAAGCCGCGACTCAGATGTCAAACACAGGTTGGCAAAAACATACTTGGCTTGCTGGGCGCAGGCCCAAAGCTGAGAGGCCGCGCGAGTGGCGTTTGACGGCTGTGCAGGCTACACGTACTGACTAACACAGAAATATCTAGTATTGGATTGGAGAATTTATAGAACCGTGATGTCTACCGCTCCTGGTGAAGCCTAACGTCGACTTTAGAGGTGGGACAATGGACCATTATCATATCAAAATAGCCGTCCAGCGCCCCAACGAAAAGTAATCTGAGCCGGAGGTGCCTTCGCTTTAGCTAATCTACTGTCACACACCGTTTCCAGAGTTCTTGAGCCTACTCTGGGGTGGCCTTTCCCAGTGAAAGATGTATTGTCCTTTCTCAAAACTCGAAAGCTATCCTGATTTCACTCCTCTCCACATTGCTGAACGTCAGGGACAGCCTGTTCTGCCCCCTGTTATCTGTATTTCTGATCCTCTTGACATTTTTGATCTGTTCTTTCCTCCTGAGCTCATTGAGTATTGCGTACGCTGTACAAACAGGAATGCTGAGAGAATTCGAAATCAAGGCGCCTTAGGGAGGGCACTCTGGTCCAGGTACAGATTGGCCAGAAGATCCAGAAGCTGGAAGCCTATTGAGGCGGACGCCATATATGGCTACCTAGGCATATATATCTATATAAATCTGTACCCAAGCCTCAGGATTGAGGATTACTAGGCTATAGATTCAGAAAGACCATATCATGGAAGCGTACGCAATACAATGTTGCTCTTGTAGTGGCAACAAATCCACCGTTATTTTCATGTCTAGGATCCCTCAGAAGCTCCTTCAGCTCCTAGGAGGCGCGTACGTCCTGTGGATAAGATAGTCAAATTAGCAGATTTCCTGAGATCCAAGTATAAGTCTTACTGGAGACTAGGTAGCCATGTGGCAGTTGATGAGGCTATGGTAGGCTTTACAGGGCGTACGCCTGAGATTGTAAACATACCTTCTAAGCCTGTGCCCATTGGATACAAAATGTGGGTGCTAGCAGACCAGGGATATGTTTTTGTCGTAGACTGGCGTGCTGTCAGTAACGAGGTAATAATAGGCTGGCACGAGAGGATCAGAGGGGTCCCATTTCAGGCCCCCCCTCCAAACCCGCTCTGGGGCCGATTTTGGGTCCCCTTGTATCCGTAACTCTTGGCACTCTTTTACGCATATGACATATGGAAGGAGAAGGATCGTAAAGTGATACCTATCAGAATTAAAAGCGTATGATCTCTAGAATTGAGCAAAGCGCCAAGTGCGGGCTTAAGGCAAAGTGACACATTATGATTAGAACCTGGGCCGAGGAGCGAGAATGGATGTGGGCAGAAGGCAGAATTCCATGTGTGGTTATCATCAATCTGCTTACTCTGTAGTCTCTGAAGATGATGATAGTATCTTAACGTGAAAGTTCACTGGCTCAAAAGCAAAAGCAGTTCAGGCGGCTGGGACAGTCTTAAAAATAATGATGTGTCCAAGGAGAGCGTCGCCGGGGAGTGCCGTGGAGAGCCTCGTCGGGGAGAGAGATTCGCCAGGGAGAGAAGTTCGCCGGGGAGAGAGCCTCGCCTGGGAGGTAGATTCGCCGGGGAGAGAGTCCAGCCGGGGAGAGAAACTCGCCGGGGAGAGAGATTCGCCAGGAGGGAGATTCGCCATGGAGAGAGATTCGCCAGGGAGAGGGACTCGCCGTGGAGAGAGTCGCCGGGGAGAAAGCCTCGCCGTGGAGAGCCTTGCCAGGGAGAGAGATTCGCCAGGGAGAGGGACTCGCCGTGGAGAGAGTCGCCGGGGAGAAAGAGTCGCCGGGGAGAGAGCCTCTGAGGTGGTCCCATTTTCGGGCCCTCTAAATGCCCACAACGCCAACTGTTCGTGTCAAGCCTGGCTTCGCCACGATAACGTGGACAAGAGATAGTTATTGGGTGGTCCAGAACTGGACCCTGGTGAAACTTGCAGTCAATCAATTGATGCCGTCGGAGCAAGCTCTTGTCCAAGGATGGTCTGAACCCTTGGGGTAAGCCGAGCACCCATGCTCATTGGGGTCCCAGCCACCGCCACCACCTCCACCGACACCTCCACCTCCACCGACACATCCACTTTCACATCCTCATCCACTGGTATTTGCGGAGGATGGAATTTAAAGTATGGTTATCAGTGCAAAGTTCCTGCCCGGATACTGCTTAATTCGGTAGAAATGAGTGTATTGATTAAAGTACAAAATGATCCAACTGATTTCTCCTCCCCTTTCCCTTCATCAGCATCTTCCACCTTCCCAATACCTGTTTAGGTGTCTCTGTTGCGGTAATAATTGCTAATATTATATTGTTAGTAAACTTCTTGAGAGCTTCAAGCTGGCGATATAGTTCACCTACCCTAATACTAGAGATTAGCAATATTGAAGGCTTAACAAAATCATGATTATTATTTCCCCTTGTATCGAAGGACCTTTGTGACATATCGCTGGTACCAAAGATTATACGGCGTACGCAATACATTTGTTTGTTTATTTACAGCCTTAGCCCTAGAACATGAGGCCAATACAGCTAGTCCTACATTATAAGGCAGACAGCTATATTAGGCATTCAGGCTAAAAGTCACAACATTTCACTAGTGCAGGGGATACCATTGAAGAAAGCACTCTTAGGATCAACGTAAAGCCGTCTGAAGTTTGCCTTAGTCCTACCCCAAACAACTCATATGCTTAGAAGATCTTGCCTGAAAAACGCAGAATTTTTTTAGAGATATTTACTAAAAATCTAAGTCAGCATTCTATTAACGTATATAAGGCATTATGTGAAGGAGTAGGGATCTTATTTAAGGCTGTATATGCATCTATATATAATACCAGCAAACTAGATTAGCTTACTCCTGTAAGTCCAAGTCTAGGACGTCACGCTTGCGAGACATGTTTGCTAATGCATATATAGCTTCAAACAAACGACGCTAGCTTTAGTACAAAAATTAACTATCTACAGAATGCAAATATTAATCTTTAAGAGGAGATTAAAGTATGCAAGGAGAAGGCAACTATAGAATCTTAGTAAGTAAAGCTTGCAGAAGAACAGCACTGCAGAGTCTGCAAGACATTAGAAGAATAGCTTTGCAAGATGCATAAGAGTAATTAGCAGCTTTAGGAGCAGGTAGAGAGATTTGTAGCTAGTATAGAGTACTTAAAGGATATGCTTTTAAGATAATTTAAAGGTTTAGAAATAGTGTTACTAGTGTTAGAAGAATTAAAGAAAAAGGTTTTCTTAGTAGTAGTAGTCTCTTAAGTTAAGAATAAAAGAATTAAGTTTGTTTATAATTTTAAAGTCTAGAAGCTAAAGGTATATTGCTAATTATCCTCTAGTCTCTCTACCTCTTAGTTACTTCCCTTTAAATATTATTATATTAGGTTATATAGGTTACTACTCTCTTCTTTTCCTGCTCTTGTGCTGTTACATAGATAATATTATTAGTAGAGGTAGAACTAAAAAGAGCTTACAGTTGCAATTAGCTTTTAGCTAGCTTTTATAGATTAATTAAATTAAGCTAAATAATTCTTTTATCTCCTAGATCTCTTTCTCCTCTTAGCTTTTTAGCAATATTTGTTGTTTCTATAATACTCTTCTACTAGGTCCTAGCACTTCTTAAAAACATTAATAGACTCCTAGGTATTCTCTAAGCTAGGATATTCTTCCTATTTAATTCTATAATACTATAACGTACTTCATAGGCGAGTTGCTCACACACCTGAGTTGCTCACTTTTGCCAAGACCCTACTAAACTACTCTTCCTACACTAATGCATTCCCTACAACACTACTTAGACGCGCTAAAAGAACGTTAGATACAGCTTATACTTTAAGCTTTTAAATAAAACATAAAACTCTTAAAAAAATGTGCTGTAGCTATATGCAAGGTCTTATAAAAAATAATAAATAACTATAGCACTAGATAACTTTTATAAGCTAATTCTACAGCTAAATTATAAAGGCTAGGCAATAAAAAAGAGCAGGTGATTATTAAGACTATACTTAAGCTATATGCGCAAGGAATTTCCCCTTAGATAGCATTTATAGCTAATATAGCTAATTCTTTGCGCGCTAAGCGTAATCTAGGCTATGTTTACATAAACTAGCCTAGTACGTTTGTAAAGCGTTATTTAAAGCTTAAAGTAAAGTTTTAAGTGTAAGTATAGTTAAGAGATATCTAGCTAATTATAAACCCTATTTTGCTAAAGTTGTACGTGTTATTATCCTAGATGCTATACTTAGCTTTAATATTCTCTATAAGGCTAAACCTGCCCTAAATTACCCTAGGACTCTTATAGAAGGCTCTTTTATAGTTATACTTACGCTTAAACATTACTTTAAGCTCTAAACAACGCTTTATAAATGTACTAGGCTAGTTTATATAAACATAGCCTAGATTACACTTAGCGCGCAAAGAATTAACTATATTAGCTATAAATGCTATCTAAGGGGAAATTTCTTGCGCATATAGCTTAAGTATAGTCTTAATAATTACCTGCTCCTTTTTATTACCTAGCCTTTATAATTTAGCTGTAGAATTAGCTTATAAAAGTTATCTAGTGCTGTAGTTATTTATTATCTTTTATAAGACTTTACACATAGCTATAGCACATTTCTTTAAGAGTTTTATGTCTTATTTAAAAGCTTAGAGCGTAAGCTGTATCTAATGTTCTTTTAGCGCGTCTAAGTAGTGTTGTAGGGAATGCATTAGTGTAGGAAGAGTAGTTTAGTGGGGTCTTAGCAAAAGTAAGCAACTCAGGTGTGTAAGCAACTCGCCCATGAAGTACGTTACTTCTTTAATTATCTTGTAGCTAATAATTTCTTTAATATTATATAATTCTTTACCTTTTAAATCTATAACACTTTCTAGGCTAGTCTCTATCTTGTTAAGAACTAAGTTAGAAGCAAAAGCAACACGCATAATCTCTTTTTTAATAAGATATTTATCTATAAATAGTTAGATTAGTAGCTTATAAAATAGTAACAAGACTTACCTTTAGAATTAGTTATAGCTAGATTAATAATATTAGACTAGACATGTTAGATAAGTTTCTAACTAGGTAGTATAGACTCTAGACAATAGTCTTTAGCATAGCCTAGACTAATTCTATTCTTCCTATCCTTTCTCTCTTTAAAATAGTTGCCTATATAAGTTGTTAAACTAACTAACTAGAAAACTAAAATCTTATAAACTTACTATAATTAGTAAAAGCAACAGACCCTTTAGATAGTAGATTTCTAGGGGAAGCATAACCTAAGTTATTCTAATAGGCTCTTTAGAAGTTACTATCTTAGTTATCTACCTCTTATTAGTTCTAATAAAACAAATGTTTGTTACACCTATCTTACCTATATTTATTAAATCTATAGTCTTAAGTACCTCTTCTTTAATTACTAAAGGTAGAGATAAACTAGATCTAGTAGTTAAAGCATCTAGGAAATTATTAATGTTAATAAAGTTATACTCTTAGCTTAGGATAGCTTAGGATAAAATCTCTATCTTAGAGGTGTCTATTTTTATAGTGTTATAACTTAAATAGTATAGACTAGAGGTAGCATCTTTAGCCTTAAGATTAATACTCTTTAAAGCATTAATATCTATAGAATTGCTATCTCTAATTAAATAAGGATTCTCTAAAGTTCTTAAAAAACCTTTCTTAAGTAGTTCTGCTTTTAGTGTAAGCTTGCTAAAATGTTCTAGCTTAAGCAACTACTTATAGCTAATAAAATTAATATTATAGTAGATAGATAGCTTGTTTAGAGATAAGCTACTAATTTATACTTTTAGTAAGATCTACCTTAAGGGTAAGCCTTATTATACTATTAAATCTAAGGCTATTGTATTAACTATAAAGTTATAAAACTAAAATTTTACATTGTCCTTCTTGTCTTCTTTTAGAACTACCTAATTAGGAGTGTAATTTAGAGTCTATACTCTTATGTTGCTATCCTTTATAATACTCTAAAGGTTAGGTATCTAGACACTATAATAGTTATATAGGTAGAATTTAAATTCTAGATCTAAGTTAAATAACCTATAGCAATATTGTTTCTTAATATAAGGGTTACTAAAGTGTTCTATATAATGTTTAGCCTATGTATAGTGCTATATCGATTAGTATATCTACTAGGAGGCAGGTAATTAAGGGTTAATTAAGCAGTACTTATAAAATCTAGTAGCTACTAAAACTCTATTATATATTAGTAGATTAATCTATATAGGAAAATTTTCTAGATCTTTAATATAAGATTAATAATAGTTTTTATAAGCTTCCTTGCTATAGATTTAAATGTTATATAGGAAGTAAAACTTAGCAAATCTATAGACATAGAACTATAAAGTCTAATAACATTTATATATATATCTCTTGTTAAATAGGCTCCAACAGCTAGCTGCTTATAGTATAAGCACTTAAGTAGCAAGAGTAAGAGTGGTGTACAGTGTGCACAGCGTACAAGGTAGGTAAAGTAAGGGTAACATGTTTCTAGTTCTATTACTCTTTTCTTTCCTCTATATAAAAAAAAAGGGGGATATCTAGATGTTTACACATAAAGGTTTACACATAAGTATTATGTAACATAGATACATAATTCTACTTATACGCAATTATTTATATCTAGGCTGCAACGCTGCTGCTGTGTACAGACACTAGCAACTTTTCTTTTTATCTAAAGAGTTACCTTTTGTACGCGTTACCTTCTTTTTATCTATATAAGTCTATCTAATTACATTCTGCCTTTACTCTACTCTATTTATTAGGACTTGCTTTAGTAATGCTGTATGTTAAAATAGGCTAGTTACACTATATAAATAGCTTTATAAATAGTGTAAAGTGTTTTAGGCTATTATTATTTAGCCTTTATATGCTTACTTTGTAAGTAATTTAGCAGTGTATAAACTA